TTGCCACCTATGATTGTCTCTCATGGGGCCAAGAGGATCTAAAGAGATTATCATACCTTGAAGCTGCTTAAAGATCCTTTATCAAAAGAGGCCTGGCTGTTTAAATTCCAATGGAGTTTTTATTCTGGTGTCTTCTTTTTAAACACAGTTTCCATCTATTCCTCGCTCTCCCACTGACTCCCTGTGTGACTTTGGGTAAATCATTTTAGCTCACTGAGAGGCAACATCTCTGTGTGTGATGTCTGCCTGCAAGTTTGTTGCAAGGGTTCTTTAAATTATGGCTATAATTATCCTTCATGTATATTTGGATTTTTTTCTTTCTAGCAACAGTGATGTTACAATTTGGAATATAGATTTCAATAAAGAAAATAAAAAAGGTCAAAATCCACTATTGTCTGGAGAAAAACATTATAACCTTAGATGAAAAAAGAGTATAAAATTTTATAGACATTGTCAGTCTAATTTCAAAAAATAGTTACTTACATATAAATATCTTGTTTATAATAAATCATACTTCTCTAAAGGTAGAAAGGATCAGGAGAGAGAACTGAAATTCGCAAGAGATGGAACTAAGCCTCAAGAGAAATTGAGTGACACCAGTCACACAGTCAGCAAATAGGAAAGTTAGGAAGTGAATCCAGAGAATCTGAGTACAGATCCTGTACTTCTAATCTTTGTATTGTGTTATTTCTTAGGTAATTTAAATACGCTATAATCATCACAACAACCCTACAAGGTATTCATTATTATCCTCATTTTACAGTCCCAGCATGTGTGGGGCACAGTTTCACCAACAGTGAAATGGGCACGGAATGAACATCCTTGTGAGAGGGTCAGTGGGGATTAGATGAGAAGATTCACCTGACAGCACATCATAAAGGGCTTCCCATCGGAAATGAATACGGCACATACTTTTGGCAAGTGTGGCACACAGAAAGATTCACAGTAAGTGGGTAAATCAAGAGGCAGGCTAGATGGATGGAGCAGCCTGACCGAGGATTAGGAACTACAGCAACTACTGAGTCACACTGAGGATCTGTTTGCTGCTTTAAAATCTAGACAACAGCCATACATGAAAAACAAAAACCAATAAAGCTACCCCCAACTCAGCCATATTGCATAACTTTTTTTTGCCTCACATTTAAAAAACACTGAAATAGCATTCTTCATGAAACTTGATATTCACATTTAATTTGAAAGGGTTGCTGTCAGCCTAGCAAATTGGGAAAAAGAGGACATGAAAGTCCTCAGAGAGTTTGAAATGTGGTGGTGGCATATGATGGAGCCACAAGTCCGAGGCCTGGGCAGAGGGAAGAGCTACTCTAAGTGGCTGGGCCTTACAGGCTCTGGCAGATTCTGCACCGACCAGCTAAGCTCTGGGTCTACACCCAAAGGAAACAATAAGGGGATAAGAATGCCAATTCCTCATAGCATTGTTGAGGAGATGCACAACTGGTTTGCAGACTGTGAAATAACATTCAGGTTCTTATCACACTCTGGTAGGTTCTGTGGCACTGCTGTGACCTATCTGGGTTTGAGTAAGGGCTCACAGCATGTTCAGCAAGAGCAAATGTCACCAGGAGAAAGTGAAATGCTCTAGGTGCACAAGGGCCCATGCAATGGCTCGATTCTGGGTCCTACTATGGGCCGAGTTGGTGTGACTCTGTAGTGTGTGATATCACAACTCCTGTCTGGGCTCCAGTTTCCCTGTCTACAACATGAAGGGAGCAGAAGGAAGGAGCAGAAGTTGGTTTCTCTGATGTCCCATGCAAAACTCTACTCTGATGTCCATTCAACTCTACTAATTCCTTCTTCATACCCCCAAGTCATTTCAATCACAACCACTCAGTGTAACTGTAACACTACTTCCCTCCGCGCTGAGTTATTTATCTGGGATTATGCCACATTCCTTATTATGACTGAAATAAAGGTGCTTATTTCATTCCGCTTTCATTTTATTTAGTCCTTTGGATGACAGTTTCTCCCAAGTGACTGTGGGTTTCCTGAGGGAGAGAATGGGCTGTGCTCATGGATCTTTATATTCCCTCACAAAGGAGCATGGCTGACAGCAGGAGCCCAACACATGTGTGCTGGACTGAACTGAAAAGTGGCCCACTCTCATGCTCTGCATAGAGCCTGCCCTATTTCTGTCTCCTCTAAAGCAGGATGTGGTTAGGGAAGGCCCAGTGTGATAAAGAGGCCAGTGGAGATGTGCCCTGCCCTCTCTGGTCCTGTGGTTACTTCATCTGTGCACCCCTACAAAGAAGGAAGCCCCTGTACCTTCCTCTGTTCCACCTCCCCCACCCCCAATACGGTTGGAGAGCCAGTGAACTGAGAGGGCCCTGAAGTGAGGCATTTCCTCATTTCACAGTTGAGAAACCAAGGCTGATTGATGATCTGTCCTCCCCAGATGGTTATATTTGCAATCATCGTGGCCCATGGTAGGGATCAGGCACCTGATAACATCAGTTGAATGAATGGATATCCTTTTATCACAGCAATAATCCACTGTATTGTAATTACCTGCTGTTTCTCTCTCCCTTTAGATTATGAACTTTGCAAGGGCAGGGACCATGTCTTATTTATTTCTGGAGCCCTTGTGACCAGGACAGGGCCCTGGAGACAACCAGTTAACATTTGTGAAGTGAGTGAATGAACTCACATTACAGTGCTTTTGTATAGCTTTGCTAAAAATATGCTAATTTTGGTCCATAACATATTCAAAAAACAGAAGAGGTATATTTTCCCACAGCTGGGGATTTTCTGCTTGTTCTTTTCCATTTTTTGCTGGCTCATCTCTCAGAGCAGCTGGAGGAGGCACCATTCCCCTGGTACAGGTCAACCCCATTTCCTATGACAAGTTCTTTCTCCCATTGAAGCAGTGAGGCTGTGGGCTACTGTGTGCTCAGGCCTCACATAAACACTAGTGAGTTCTAATGCTGGGAAGGCTGGCTCTGAAGTATGGCAAACAGAGGTTACACTGATATTGCATTTCATGGACGGAATAAAAGAACCCTGCTTTGTAACCTATATTTGCATGTGTGATGAGGGAATGTGCTCTTTCTCCATATTTCCCAAAGACATTCAGTTCTTTTGCTGCCCAGATGTTCAACAGCTGTTTGGAGGCTTTGGCCAAGATCCTGGATGCTTGAGAAGGGAATGACTTAATGGTGTGGCTCCTCTCTCCTTCTCTTCTATTCCATGAATGTTACCATTGTCACTGGAACCGTGCCCACACAGGCAAAGTAAAGGGGAATGCTGAGGAAACCACACAGATAATGTAGGCTGACACTTCTTTCCTATCAAGAGCAAACATGATTGCTCTTTATTTGGCTTGAAGAAAGGAATCTGGAGCTCTTCCTTGCTTTGCCCTACCTTTTCCCACGATGATATCTCAGAATGGAAAGCCTATTCCTTTGCAGGAAACTTCTTCCTATTCAAGTATCACCTTTCAGAGGAAAGTTTTCCAATTTTCACAGCAACCTGCATACAACCCTGCAAGAGCGCTTATTACAGCCCATTAACACTTGACTTTGGGTCTCTCTCCTGCATTTGAGTTCCTGGAGTGCAGGGACATGACTTGCTCATCTCTGGTCCTGGCATAAAGCCTAGTACCATAATAGAAGCTCTGGATATTTATGCAGCGCGAGAATTAATGAACTCCACAAGTTTCAGATTGATTAAGAGATATTTCAACACTGCAAAATCTCAGAAGGAGAGTATGCACCATCTATCCCTGATATCTACAAAGGCCCATAAATACCTATTGACAGCTGCTCCTTTGGACCCAGAATTTCTGCATCAGGTCCGCCTGCCTCTGCTTCTTGGACTAAGGCATCATGCAGGAGGACTGCAGGTTGGCTTGGACTAAGACCAGTGGTCCAAAAGAGCCCCTTCTAGGCTGCTGGGAATAACTCAAAGCAAGGTCATACTGTTGGCTTTTTCTTATGGTGCTTTGAGATTTTAGAAACCTTCTAGGTAGAAAGTTTCCAAAGGTTGGGATGCTGAGTTTCTCTTGGCTGATTTTTGCAGTATACTAGAAATCAAAGAGAGCTGCATAAACACAAGTGGACTAGGCCAAATTTTAGGCCATCATTAAAAAAGAAGAGTTAACTGTTTTGATTTTTTATATCTCCATCTTTTTATTCTCCTAATAACCACCCTGAGATTGGTGAAATCAGGCATCTTCCAGGTGGGAAAGTAGAGCACATTATGGTTGTATTTATGCCAGTTTATATAATAGAAATATGAAGGTTAATTCTATGACTGATAGAAGGACTAGAACTGTCCTTATGGTCTAACTGCCTCATTTTATAAATATGGAGAGTGAAATGCAGAGACATCAAATAGCTTGCCTAAGGACACACAGGGAGTCAAAATCAGAGATGGAATTAGAACCCAGGTCCCTTCATTCTACAAGATGAGCCCCTCCTTCATTGGGTTTTGAATGTCTAGCACTTGAAAAGAAAAATCCAAAGCAAAGGCAAATACTATTACAAACCCACAAGGACAGAGAGTGCAGATAGAGGTGTCCTTTGGTATGCTTGGGAATGGCTGGCATTAGAAGAGGAGGAGAAGGGACCCTACCAAGGTAACTGAATCTCCCTCCAGTGGAGAAGCATCCTGTGTCCCCACCACGATGGGTTCTGCGGTACAGAATTGGATGATCTCGTCTTATCTACCCCCAACAAGGGGAACCCATACCTTTCCCAGGGAACTCATTCAACTATGGAATTATTTGAAGACTCTTCTCTGTGTTTTATTTATACCAGGTGCTGAATGGCAATTGATTTTATTTATATTAGTTAATTTAAATGGATACAAAAGGAACTAGTGATATGCATTCACTCCCTGGGCCACATGAGTACACTTCTGCTTTCCCTGTAGACCCCCAACTGGGCAGCTGGTGTTTACAGCCCATTAACTCAGTGATGGCTCACCCTCCGCTCTGGGCACCTCACCCTTGGCGCTGCCTGGGCCCATGGGTACCAGAATCCTACCTCCATCATTGTCTTTGCTGTCTCCACAGGCAGTTTCCATCGAAGTGTCACAGCCAGCTCCTCTCCAGCCCAGGTGGCAGACGCACTGCCACCCATTCAGGTCCAAAGTACATTTGCCGTTACCATTGCACAACCCAGGGCAACCCTCTGCAAGACAAAGGATACAGGGTCAAGGTCTAGCAGCCCAGGGCCAATTGCCCTCACACACATTCACATTCCACCTGCCAGCTTATGCAGTGCTCTCACATCAGTCAGCACATCCATGCCACACAGCCCAGGGGGGCGGAGAAGGCAACTGAGACTCAGAGCGGTGAAAGGACTCGCTAAGGTTGCTGTCAGATGGGACAGGGTTAGGTATGAAGCCTTTGCCTTGTGCATCTACAGCCCCAATTTTTACCAGAGATCATGATTCTGGAGCTGCTGTCAGTGGATGAATCTGTCTGCTAGAATCTGATTGGCGGAGCTTTTTCCTGGTCTTTGCTTCTTGGTCATTTACCTGTGCTCCTCTTTCCCCAGTGGGTGTCTCGAACAAAGGAAACACCTTTCTGTTTATTCCTCTTGTCCCTCAGTACTTCTTTGGACCTTGCTCCAAAGGACTTTTTCAACTTTTTTCAACTTTCGTTGCTAGGTCAATTTTATTGGACCTCAGGGGTTTCATTTATTTTGTCTTATTTTCTCCTAAACAGCTGTTTTATCTTTGAAGAAGAGGGCTTGGTTCTTTTTCTTGCCATCATGTTTACACTACACTTTGAAGAGGGCTCTGCGCCCCAGAGGAGCTCCAATGACTATCGTGAGACAGACAAACTCGTGCCGTCTATGTGTGCAAATGCAGCTATAGGCAAGCTGCTCTGCTTACTCCTCCATCTGCCTGTTGCTTGCTAAGCACCTCCCTGGTTCAGAACTAGAGGCAAAGAGGTGACTACGACCCAGTTCTTATTCTTGAGGGGCATGCAGCCTATAGAAAGACACATATTGGTTTAAGCAAAAAACTCACCGCTAAGGGATAGGAAAAAGACAGCGGAACCCTACCACAGTTGTACCCATCTGAGAGGCTGAGGCTGATCTAATCAAGGAGAGCCAGGCAGATTTAGACTCTGCATTGGTTCTGCTTTGACCCTAGGATGAGGCGGGGAGTTTCTATCACTATTCAAATAGATTTACAGGGTTTTGGTCATCACCTTTTTTTTTTTTTGGACTGGGGATCGAACTCGGGTCCTTGCACTTGCGCAGCAGGCGGCAAAACCACTGAGCTAAACCCCCAGCCCAATCATCACCTTTTTAAACCTCTCTGTGTTGGCAGCTCAGAATCTGTCTGAGAGTATGTTAAGTTTCACAGGTCATTTCAGCCTCATTTTGCCATTTGGTTTTCATTCAAGTCCTCATTTCAACAACATGGCCACTCCCTTCGCCGAGGGGCCATCAAAATATCAAAATACACTTGTCCCTTCTCTCTGCCTTTGCCTGGTCTCAGGGAAAGGTATGGACATGAAAGCACTTGTCAGCTAGAAAGCTTAATGTGTTTCAGTATTATAAGTAGCAAACGTCTATAAATGTGGTTGCAAACTGCATTTTCTGCCACAAAATAAGGGAAAATTGACTTATCATTGTTACATAGGACGACAAATGTGAAAATGGCTGTGAACATCAGACCTGGCCCATGATAGACACTCACTGAGTGGATGAGCAATAAGAACCCAAAACTTTAGTGTTTCAGGATGTTTGATAGTTGTTACTCTAATGGAAGAGAGAAGAACATGTTCATTTCCACCTGAGAGGGTCAACATAGTAACCAATCAATCCACCTGGCTACTGCGTTTTCCATTCAAAGGAAGGAACATGGTTTGAGTATATACTCTAAGCCTAGGAGTGTGCTCTACGGAAGTTTAGGAGCAAATATAGATTATGTGGCCTTTGCACAGTAGGAATTATTGGGAAAGGTGAGAAGCCATCAGGTTGGCTATCTCCAGAAGTGATGGAGAAGTTGTAAAAGTGGGTCCCAGGCACAGTACTGTGGCATGCAGGTGACTATCCAGACATTCTGACTTGGCAGCCAGCCTAGACCATACCAGTGGTCTAAGTATTCACAGCCTTCCCCTTCCCCCAATAAGTTTAACTTAAGTGTTTACCCATCTGGCTGAGAATTGCTTTCAATTGAGTCCCATTTATATTTGGAATTAGTTTGGGAGGCAGAAGTATCTAGTTTTAAAGAATGGTAGCAGACTGCTTTGTTTTGCTTTAAGATGTAGCCTCTTACAACATTAAAAAATTATCTTTTGCCTAAGAGCTCAAGCTTGGGAGCCATATCAGTGGCTGGGTCTAGCACTCAGAGGCTGTGTGACACCGGCCCAATATTAAATTTCTTTGAGCCCCAGTCTTTTCATAGTATGGGGCTACTGAGAAAGTTACATAAGATGAGGTATGGATGGAACACAATATCTGAAATTTCTACTTACCATTACCTTCTATTTGAGGCAGAAAGCATATAATATTCTAAGTTGTTACCTTAATCCGAGGTAGGGCTCACAGAAAGACAAACTAGGCAAACTAGAAAACCGAGACAGTTGTCCTGTTCAGAGTCAACAAAGTTGTTCTGTAAAGATCCACCTAGAAATAGCTTAAGCTGGTGAACTATGGGGAATCTGTTGCAATTACTCAACTCTGATATTGAAGCTTGAAAGCAGCCACACACAATTTGCAAATGCATAAACATTGCCATATTTCAATAAAAGTTTATTTACAAAAATAGGTGATGGGCTCAATTTGGTCTGTGGGTTGTAATTTGACAACTCTTGGTTGAAATGTTTCAGGATAGTGATGACAATAACGGCTGCCATGTACTCAGGGTCTAGTATGGCTGGCCACTGTGCTAGGCACTTTGCATTGATTATTTCTAAAATAAGTTTTAAAAAAATCCAGACTCTGATTTTCAGGGCAGCTCCAATTTTACACCATTTAATCCTATTTTTTTTAATAAAAGCCAAATGTTATAATAGTGGGGACTTTGGAATTGAATAAGCCTTAATTCACTCTAATGCCACCATTTTATCTCCTATTTATGTGATGACTGGCAAATTAACTCTAAGCTTCAGTTTTCCCAACTGTAAAATGGACAGAATGTATAATTATACAGTTGTTAAGAGGACTGACTGAAATAATATGTGCCAGTAATTTAGCAAACTGGGCATCATAAGTAGGCAGCTGTTATTATTAAATCTGTTTTAACTTTGTACAATTTCACTAAGCAATTCACAAACCAGAAAATAATCCTTTGCACAACAGTCCAGATTTTGCCAGTTTGGATCAGAAGCTATGGTCCTCATAAGTACAAACCTCGATAAAGAGAGGGGACAACCCAGTGACATGGTCCTGGGGTGCAGTGCAATGGGCAGCAGTGTGAAGGGGCCTGGCCACAAGTTCCAGCTGGGGCCACTATTTCACGCTTCCAGCACACTGTCCTTCTGACAGCGATTATGCTAAGTATAATGAAGTGATCAACTTCTGCAATTAATATAATGGCTTAACTCCCTCCTTAGAATGTAAACTCCAGAAAGGCAACTTGGGGCCGAATCTAGTGCCCTGGCTAATCTACCAGTTTCTCAATATGTACTTGTTGAAATGAATCAGTGGGTGAAGAGAACTAGATTCTTGTATCTTCTGCCTGAATTGTAGGAATTGGGAAAGTTTCTTTCCTTCCTTTGGCCTCAATTTCTGCTTCATGACATGAGAATTTGGATGAGATAATCAATGAGGTCCTTCTAGCACAATTGACCTCGCAGAGAATGTCAAAACCTTGATTCAATGATTCCGCTCTTAAATTCAAGAAACTTTACAAGACATCCACTAGATGCCAAACCTTCTGTTAGTTAGTGGAAGTAAGGAGACAAGATGTATCTCCAGTCCTCAAGAATATTCTCCTTATCTATACCCTACTTTGTTCCAGAGAGGATTTAAGTTGGGTCTTAGAATCTTACATACTTAGAGTGAACTTTGTGAAATACTGCTTCTAAGAGGTCCTCAAAAAGAACCTTCTGTGGTCAAATATGTTGGGAAAACATTACATCCCATATTCTTACCCTAGAAGGTCACACCGAATGGAATGTCAATGTATTTATTAAAGAAATCTGCTTATTTGATTATCAGAACATTTTCCAATTTGACTGTAGGATTCTCCCCTCTCTGCTATCCCTGTCAGATTCATTCTATTCCATGTGCTGCAATTGGCCAGTTATCTTTGAAGGCTCTAAAAGATTCACCATCAGCGGCCTAGTGCTTACATTCTGTGCTGCTCAGAGGCTGCTAGGGGAGGCAGGTGTTCCCAGGGAAGGAAGCTCCCACGATGGAGCTGCAGGGATGCTTTATTCACAGTCAATTTCTTCAAATGGACCAGGTTATACCCTGAGGGCCTGTGCTGCCCCATTGGTTTCAGAGGGACCTCAGAGTACCTGTGCATGAAATGAGGTTTATCTCCATCCAGCAGTTTGCTTCTGGAATAATCGCACCCCCATCAGCCAGCTCAAGGAAGCCTCCTCCAGGGAGACTTGCTGACTTTCTTAAAGCAATATGCCTATCCTTCCCCCTAGTGGAAGCTCATTAATTCCACAAACCCTGGAGCTCATCAATAATTCAGAGACCCAAGTGACATTAACAATCCCTTCTGGAAGGGCTCACACCAGGCATTTGCTGGAGCCAAAATAATGTAGTTTAAGGTTTAGAGAAGGGCTAAACTTTTCAAAAGAAGCATTGCCCTTTAAATGACAAGGGACCGCTTTATCTTCAAGTTCTGCTTAAGCTTATGAAGAAGCCCCCTCGAAGCTAGCATCAGGTGTGACCAAAAGACTTCCAGAATCCTTGAAGGTATTTATTTTTTAGTTAAGTAACAAGAGGCCTTTGCTATACATCTATCATATATCAAATGCCTCCCCTTTTATGTTTCCCTTTCTGTCCCTTGAACTTTTTCATCTTTACATTCATTTCTCCATACAAGGTCATTATCTTTTCTTACCTACATAACTGCAATAATCTCCTAATTGGCCTTTTTGTCCTCAATACTTCCCATCAGTTTTTCTTTCACAATATAGTCAGATATTTTTCCAAATCACAAATATATGTCATTTAGCTTTTAAAAACCTTCAGTGGCTCTGTTACATCCTGTACTAAATTTCACAGTCTAAAAGCCTCTTCCTAACCTGGTGGTGGTTTCCTTCCTAATAGCCCCTGCACTTCCCCTATCATTCCCATCATTAAACTAGGTTAAAATTATTTTAGCGTCTTTCCTGCTAAACTGCAGGCATTCCAAGAACAGGGGCCATTTCTGCTGTGTTGTATCCACATTTCCTGGCACTTGAGGGGTTCAATATACTTGTGTGAATATTTTTTACTTTATCTCTACCAATACAATTGGAAAGAGAGAACAAGTCTGGCTTTTCTTTGGACTGCAAAATACATGCTTTCCTCCAACAAGTCCTGAGCATGCATGGTGCAGATCTCTGAATTCTTTTTTAGAATTAGTACCCCAAAACCAGGACATCATTCAGAGAACAGACTTGATTTTAGCCAAGAAACATTTGCCTTTTAAAGGAAGTTATGATTCATTGACCTAATCCAACCATGGTTCTAGTGATGATATTTTTCTGAACTACAGAAATTAATCTCACAAATAAAGTCTTTCTCCAAATTAAGGGCAAGAACAAGAATATGATGATAGACTAGTGTAACTCATATTTATTGAACATCATTCTTGTTCATGTGGTAAGCCTTTAAAATTTATTATTTCACATAATCCTCATGCTAACCCTATGAGGTCGATCCTGCTATAGATTAAAGACTCTGAAGTGAAGTGACTCACCAAACATCACTCAGTTTGTCAAGTGCGGGTTTGAGCTGAGGCTCAAACTTTGGTGGTCTGGCTACAGAGCAAGTGTGCGTAACCAGAGAACAAATGTTTTGTGTCACATGCGATGTGAGGGCTTGAGGATGAAAAAAATAAATGTGACATGATATTTCTCAGGGAGTTTACAGTCTTTTAAAAGCACACATATCTGATCATTCTGAGACTTACTCACAGAGCAATAAGGTCTATTTTGAAATTGGACATCACCTAAAGCATGTAAATGTATAAAATGTCATGAGTTACTTTGCCTTTCAGAAATAGTCTTCAAAGATAAAACTTACCAAAGCCAGAGACCTCCTCTGAAAAGGAAAACAAACAACAAACAAATAGACCATCCATGCCTGGGGCCAGAGTCTTGTTTCCCCTTGTCAGCAGAGCCTGTCATCTGTGCCTAGCACAGTAGGGGGCTCCATGCATGGCTGCTGGATGAATGGACACAACAGCGACAGAATGTTACTTTCCTTAGGATTTCTCAGCTTGCTCTTGGGTCTCTTCCTCTCTCAGGCCAGCCAGCCTGGTACCCAGCATCTTATTTCTGATGGACCAAGGGCCACAGGGAACACCCAAGATGACATAAGATGGAGTGGAAAGGGTGAAGGGTGTGTGTGGGCAGGGAAGGACAACAGCACAATGGTGATGTCACAAACAGATCTGAGTGACAGAATGACACTCCAGGCATATCAACCACCTTGTGACCAAAAACCCACCCAAGTTGGGCAGTGAATACTGTGACAAAGCTGGGGCCGTGGCAACATCTAGACATATACATTTTTATATACATATTTCTTCTTTTATGTTCATACACAGACACACACAAAGACAACCAGAAAATAGAGGAAGGAACACCATACCTTTAACTACCCTATCCAGATAGTGCGCTTGGGAGATAAAAGACAGGACATTTAAGGTATGACCAAATAAATTCAGTGCTGCCTGCCAGATAACCATGCCAGGTGCTAAGGAGACACAGAGTGATATGCCCCATGTTTGGGACAGGCCTTTGCCATGTGAGAAAAATAAAACAACGACAAGATGGGAGAGAAGGAAGGAGAGCAAGCACATTCTCCAAGAAAGGCCAAAAGGAACATCAATTCATTCTGGGATCCAATGATTGGAAATGTGATCATATAAACAAGAAGACATATGGGTAAAGGAGACAGGAGAAAGAATGGGAAGCTGCACAAGTGGCCACACTCCTGCTCTGTCAGGTTTGTCCAAGTTTATGGAAAACTAGAACTTAGCCCCGTGTCCACCCAGAGCAGCACACAACCTCCCACAAGGGGAAGAGCTACACGAAGAACAAGCTGTCTGGACAGAGGTGTTCTCAAGAGGTTGGAATTTAGAAATATGCAAACTTTGGATAATCTCTGTTGGCACTGGGAAGTGGGCTGAGTCTTTGGCCAAATATACCACTAGCTTGTCTGTTTGCCATTCTTAAATTTTTCATGTACACATGGGCCCACATAACTTGAATGCAGAATGTCTGGTGCTTCAAGTAAGATGCAATCCTACCTTGTGTATCTTACATAGAATGTGAGGCATAGATCAATGGATGTCACTGTCAAAAAAAATAAGAAAAAGAAAAGAAAACTTGACCAATTCTCAGTGCTTATTAACTCAAAAGACAAATGACATATGTTTTGCTTTCCAATGCAGGGGCTGTGTTCAAGCCTTGAATTATTCGGCAAACTAAGGATTTGTATATTTGTGAGGATGAGTATTAAACATTGCTCTGGCATAAACTGAGTGTGCATGGATGGGGGTGCCTGTCTATGTTCCGAGCAGAGCTGGCCTCTACGCCTTTCCCATAAGGCTGCTTTGAGGACTCCCTCTTGCCTCTCTCTTTACTCCTACCCCTTTGTGTGCTTCCACAAAGGCTACACAGATGGCTACTTCCTCCTGTACCTGAGCTAGGCTTTCAGCTAGGCAGCACCCATCCTCAGCTCCATTTCACATGTGAATCGAAAGTCCACAGGATAGCATTGGGCTGTAATAGTGTGGCCTGATCTGAAAGCCCTAAGATTCCATAAACAACAATAACATTCTTTATTTTGTCATTAGAAAAATGAATTTTATTTTTTCAATCCTCTGGACAGAAAGACACTATTGCTATATATATGTATGTGTGTGTGTGTGTGTGTGTGTGTGTGTATCTGTGTGTGTGTGTGTGTATTTGCTTTAAAGGGCTGGTGGGTAGGAAGCTCTGTTTTTAGTTCAGGTGTCCATATGGTCGCTGTTTCAAGATGAAATATGCTTTTGGAGGCTGCAGTGCCACGTGAAAATGGGAAGAGATTTAACAGGGCCTGCACGTGTCCCTTCTCTCTTACAGAGGTCATGGAGCCCACAGGATAGCAGGAAATAAGATAATGTGAAGGAGAGTGGCTTATTAAGCAGGAGCGAATAAACAAAGCTGTGGAATGCCAAACACAGGGACTTCCCACATGAAAAAAATGAAACATAGGGACTGCCCTCATGAAAAACAGGCTAGGAAACATCTCTGGCTAAGGGCAAGACTTCCTTGATTCTTAGTTTCTTTATTACATTAGTCTTAGATAAGTATATTCATTTAATTTTACAAAATGATCTAAAATTTCTTAGATATTATCTCCCAGGATGTTAGGGCTTTGCCATCAAAGAACAAGACCGCATGGGATCTCCAGGCTTGGGTGGTTTTCTTAGCTCTCAAGTCTGTAGAGTCTTTGGGAAAGTCCTAATTATAAATTCTTACAATGACTCTGAGCCTAGTAAAATAAAAGAGGTGGAGTGAGCCTCAGTTTCAATCCCAGGAATGGGTAGGCTAGATTAATCATGGTCATTGGAATCCAAATGACCATACCACTGTGCAGCCTCCATACTGAGGGAGTTCTCTGAAAAGAAAGCATCTTTGTCTCTAAACTTGATAGTGATCTCATGGCTCTGATGGTTAGTGAAGATTAAATCTACTCTGTAGGATAATCTCCTGAAAGGCAGGACTGACTTCAGAGAGCTCTCTCATTCTCTCTTTAAATGTCATTTCATTTAAAAAAATTATGTAGTTATAATGATCTCTATTAAATGCAAATATGTTTTTAATACCTTTAAAAATGCTTGCTTATTTTACCAGTCCACAGGAAGCAATAGAAGCCAAAAGTGATTGAGGTAGGCTTGGGAAAAATCAACATTGTGAATTTTCAGGAGATAAGTGAGGACATTCAAAATTTCAAACCCTGACTCTGCAAATCAAAAGGGATTCCTGTGCTACAAAGCTACATTGTGAATCCAAAAGCTGATAACAGCCAGTCAATACCAGGTCCAAGAGATTTCTGGAAATGGAACAGAGCTTCCTTATCTCTGGCTATTGAAAATGGAAGTGACAACTGGGTCTTTGAAGTCCAATGGCATTTATTTATAAAAGGGATATACAGAGGTCCATAGTTGTTGCTGCTATTGCTTGAAAATCTTGATACATATGTTTTTGAGTATAACCTTTAAAATCTGTGTTTTGAAGTACCAACTTTGAAGAAAAGATGATGCAAATTCCTAAGTTTGCATTATGGAAGATAGATTCAGAAGACTTCACAAAATTCCTGTATCTTTCTCCTTAGGACTCCAGGATGAGGGTATTAGCAGTACAGTCATCTTTCCTCATGGGCCATATTTATTTCTTTGCCATTGCACAAATGCTTCCTAAATTCCTACTATCTTCCTGCATTCATCTGAGAAGCAGGGGCAGTGTTGGCATATAGGTGTTTATGATACAGACTCTGAGATTTTGGCATGAGGTTCCTCTGAGAACTCTTAGGTCTCTTTGGCATTTCTGTGACCACCAATATGAAAATTTCCACCAGTGATTTGTCTGCACCAACAAAGGCTTCCAAGAGTTTCTCTCGGGATAAAGAAGTTTCAGAGTCCCTATCAAGGTTATGAAGAACATGGGAAGATGCTTTTCACTCTTTCCCTCCAAGAGCCTCAGGTCAACTCTAACAGCTGCATCATTACTCCATGTTAGGCCAGATGAAACAGGGATCAATACTGAAGGTGGTATGTGTGGTGGTTATAATCACCCGGACTTGGGAGACAAGGCACCAAAGAGATGTTCTTGTTAACATCTTGGATACATTCCTGCTCTTCTTTCTTCGGTGAATAAGTGGCCAATGGAACCCACCCTGAAAGGAACCTACAAATCCCAACAGCTTTCCTCCAGTGTCCCACCCCTATCACGTGTGTGCTGCAATCTCCCAATGAAATCAGCAGTTAACTCACACTGTGATAGCTTGAGGTAGATCCCTGTATGCCTTCTCTCTTTTCTTGTCACCATTTGTCCTGTTGGATCTCAGCTTTTGAGGAGGGATAAGCGTAGGGTTATCACACAAGTGCTGGTATTTCATGGGCAACTTGTGAGCTCTTGATGAAGAATTGTCTGATTACAAAAAAGAAACCTCACCACTATCATTCAAAAGTGGACAAAACACTCCAAAAGATTCTGTGGCTTTCTTTATAAATTCCCTTTTTCATGAGGTCTGGTTTTGCTCACTCAAGTAATTGCATCATTGGAGTATTATTTTGATCTTTACTCCCAGAGGAGGCTTTTGTTTAAGAATCAGGATTTATATGATTGGACAGCTTTCCTGAAGTTGAGTAAATAATTCTGTGTATCTGGTATCTTGAACAATCACAGCTTTGGGGTCAAGGCTGGAATTTTATAAATGTAATCAGAAGCTGGCATTGCGCACACATGTTTTGAGACTTCATAGATGAGGGGCATTGAGATGAATAAAATAATCATCATAGAATTGATCCAAAATGTTAGCAGTGTTTTTAATGAAATTGGAAAAAAATTAAACACCTTCTTAAATTTAACTGTGATTTTCAGATTTTGCTACGGAAATCAAAGGTCAAGCCCTGAACTTAAGGGGTCTGTAAAAATTTCTGGAAAAGACATCCAAAAATATGCTTTTGAAGACTGTGTTGACTTTACACTTGAGATATACATCCAAATCAATCCATCTTACCTTAAATTCTAGACTAGAAAAACTGGGTTCCATATATGCAAGTAGGACTGGTAGTGTTAAGGAAGCAGACAAAAAATAAAGAACCCCTTTTTCCTTCATGTAATATTGCTAAAAGCAAGTGAATCAGCTTCAGGCTGATGAGTGTTCAGTTCTTTGGGCAGAAGAGAAGAGGGCTAGAATTTCTTACCCTTGGGGATCTCTTTCAGCCACTCTATTCTGTGATGCACAGGGAGAGAAACTGAGACCCAGGCAGTCATGTGTCCTTCCCATGGCACTTTCACTATAAACTTTTCTTCCAGATGCAAAGAGACAGCATTTCCTAACAGAAGGCATTAAGTTTCAAACTGAAGTGCTCTTGCCATTTGGGAAAAAAATACTGTCGTTAAAGAGGATGCCGCTTTCAAGTTACCTCTCCTTTTGAAAACCACCCTCTTTTGAGAAAAATCAAAAATTCTTCCATGAAAGATAAGGGAGGGGGACAAAGCCTCCAAAAGAAAGTATTTAATTCCTACTATAATAATCTGCTCTGGGAAGTATCACTGGGGTAAAAACGTTCTTACACTGGGGACTTGGCCATAAGGAGCCTAGATTCTTCTAGGCTCTTCTCTGAACCCTTCATTCTTTCTGTAAGGTAATCAAGGCATCCTCTCCTGTTTGTGGAGGCAGCAGTGTATAAGGAAACAGAGCCTCCTCTCTTTTGTTTCCACTACCTGGAGGTCTCTGAGTTGGTGTCATGGATACCAGGTCTTCTTCTGGTGTGGGAAATGGGTAGACTGCAGTGTAGGAAGTAGCTGATTGGTAGTAACTTACAGTGTAAAAATGAAATTTGATAACAAGAAAACATTTAACAATTCAGATTTCTAACTTTTCACATCAGCAGTTATTTTCTTTTTCTAAATGACCCTCACAGGAAGTGAATTTCCCTGGAAACATACGGAAACACTTGTTATCATCAAAGATTAAAAAAGGATCTCTTCTCATTTCTATTTCAATGAGAAAAGAGAAGGCATCCACCACTGTTTCTTTAATTTTCATTCCACTTTCTTCTCTATCCTATAGGGGTGTTGAAGTGTTCCTTCAGCTGAGGTGTTGGGTTTCTCGTGGGGATGCAGCGAGCCACAGCAGAGATCCACAGACAGAAGATTGCCATGCAGGAAAATCAGACAAGGACAAAGAAAATGCACACCAGACTATGAAAGGTAATAGAATTCTGAGCCAAAGTCCTTTCATCTGAACCACTGTAACTAGTCCATTATGTCTTCAATGTCCTATGACATTTTTCTGGTATTTAAGGCTGTCAACCTTCCTTTTATATTGTGCACATTTACCTTGATGCATTTCCTACATGCAACTCTGAGGAGGAAAGTTTCTTCAAGACTGACAACAGGGTGAGTGGGGGAGGTAGAGAGAATGGTCTGACTCCTTGAGATCAAAATAAATGGGACCTTCTTAAGGCCAGGTTACCAGATGTAGCCCAGCCTTCCCATAAGCACTATCATGAATTATCTATGACTGGACTAAGGTCCCTAAGTCACTAGTCATTTGACTCAGATGAGATGTTTTGTCTCCTAAGAGTCGAACATTTATAAATTTTTTGGAATTTGGTATGACAAGCTGAGGAGTCTGTGAGCAAGAGGAGTGAAAACAGAATGTGCTGTCCTCAGGCTGATTTTTTTAAAAAATAGCAATGGGCCATCTTCTGAGCTGGGAGTCTGAAAGGTCAGTTCATCCTCAGTTATGCAGAAAAATGGAGAGGAGAAAGCACAGTGTAAAGAGGGTGCATGGGATGGCTCAGGCCAGTTCTCTGTAAGAGGTTTCCAGGACCATGGTAAGGTAGGATGACACTGACATAACGAAGTCATCTCTCAGTGTGCAGTAACATAACGTGGTACATTCTGCTGTGGAGGAGCAGGGAGAACTGTCACCCTTCACTAGGGAGGGCCTTTGTTAGGAGTGGGGGGTGCACAGAGTAGGAGATTAGGAGAGGAATGCACTGCATCTGAAAAATAAAAAGGCGCAGCTTGGGGGAGAGAAAGGAGCCTGAGTGGAAATCTGGGCTTTGTCCTGTGAGGACTGCAGAGTAGACAGCTGGTGAGGAGAAAACCAGGCTGCAATTCCTGCTGTACCTCTTTAAGTTACATGACCTTTAGCCTCAGGTCTCTGTAAAGAAGAAAGTAATCCATGCCTCTTCACTCTGCTAGGAGTACAGAATAAAGCAGTTCTAGCTTTTAGCACAGTGCTTGGTATACAGTAAATACTCAAAAAAGTAGAGCCATTGTTATTAAAAATGTAAGGTATGCAATGGCCATTTATACAGTGATGGTTCAGGGGCAGGGATCAAAGATATAAACTAATCCTTGGTGGCAAATGGCAAAAGGAAAAGAATGAGGACTAAAAACCCCACAAAAGATAAAAGGTAGCTCCATTTGCTTAAAATTCCTTTGTCCCTGTCAAAAGCTTAAGGGATTGTCTTCCAGTTTTTATAAGAGCTACAAGGTCACTTTTGGGGCCACAGAGGCACCTGGAAACCTGCTTTCTAAAGCCATGTGCTCACCATCTGATTATAGGCCTTTCCTTGAAAAAAAAATGCCAAGGGAAGGAGTTAAAACACACATATACAAACCAGTTGATTCAATAAAGAGCTTTCGGTGAGTGTTCTTTCCAGGATAATAAACCAAGCAAAACGTCTGGCTGTGTTTAAAATCAACAAAACCAGCAGGAAAAGCAGAGAGATGGGGAATGAAGTGATCAGCTTGTTTTTAAAGCTGCCAACAGTGCTGCTTCAGCAGGGGCCCTTGCAGAGGAGCCCCCAAGAGAGGAGACAATGCAGACAGGACAGAAGCTGAGGACAGGGGAGGGCAGAATGCAGGATGTGGCTGGGGCCTGTGGAGAGCTTTCTGGGGATTCCAGCCTCTGTGCCGGCCTCCTAGGTCAGATGGTGAGGAGGGCTAGGGCCAAGCCTGAGTTGTCCCAAGCAGATAATACAATTGATAATAATGGCTACATGGATTGAGCACTCCACTAGTGCCAGCCTCTGCTAAGCTCTTCATGTCGCTTATTCTCCCCATCTTATAAGGAAACTGAGGCTGAGAGAGGTGATGGGACTTGCCTACAGCCGCTAAATGGCAATCATCTGCTTCATTCCTGAGCACAAAGCTCTACTACATTTAGTCCAGGTAAGGCTAAACAGCAAGGCCTGCTCACCAACTAACTGGGGTCTGGGAAATGCAAATTGGGACGAATAAGGTAGAAAATGCTAAATTGTGAATGAATTTAAATCCAATTGATGTCTAGGAAAAGCCATTCATAATGTCACCAGATGAAAGGACTTTTGGCCCCTTCCCACATGCGATGGGGGTCCAGGGCCCAAAAGACACTGGTGTCCCACAGACTACGCGAGTTCTCGGCCTGTGGCCGCCATACCAATGGTGCAGTGCTCGCCGTTCCAGCCCACGCTGCACTCGCACTTGCCGTCGCGGCAGGTCCCATGCTCGGCACAGCGCGGGTGGCAGGCTCGCTGGTCACACGCTGCCCCCATCCAGCCATCTTCGCAGCGACAGGTGCCCCCAACGCAGACACCGTGGCCACCACAGTCCGCAGCGCAGATCTCTGTGGGCAGGGGAAGCAGGTAGGGAGCAGGCCCCGGAGGGGAGAGGGGCGAGGGAGGAGAGAGAAAAAGACAAGATCTGAGCAACTTCTTGTCAGGAACAAGCGTCACACTTGGCTACCTACCCAGGCTTCTGTGAGTGGCTGGGATTCCAGAGGCTTGGGGGACTAATCTCCATGGACAATGACCCTCAAACAAGAACAATTCTCTGGGCAGAAGCCTGCTTCGAGCCCATTTCCCCATCAAAATGGGAGGGATTGAAAGGGCTCTGCTCTATTTGCTTTTCCTTCTTGCCAGCCTCTCTCTGCTTTTGTGCTTGCCACTTCCAAAGGGGACCGGCTTTCCCAACAGATGTGAGAAAAAGTCAAATTTAATTAAAAACCGGTAATGTGTGAAAACAAAGTGAGGATGAGTCTCTATTGCCAAATGAAGGGCTTGCAGGTCTGGTTGGGGTGTGTGAAGAGCTTGGGGCCTGCATGGGACTAGAGCTTTGACTCTAATTGGGGAAGGTGGGGGAGGCTGGACTCCTGCACCCTGGGTATACTCTGGGTTGTGGTCCAAAACTTGCAGTTTGTTCTGTGCTTTTGCTGAGTTTATTCTCTATGCTCCAGCTTGCTGCTTCCTCCTCCAACTCCAAGCACCATCTAAATAGGCTTTCAGATCCAAAGCAAACAGCTGGTAGTGGTGATGGTGGGAGCACTTCACGGCCACAGTGCAGTTGCCTGGTCCTTCACAAAGGCCCTTCTGTGAGACTGTGCAGAACATACAGGGCCTGATTCACAAGCCTTATGGGCTCTAGGCCAGCAATGGCTTTGTGCTTGGTGCAGGCAGAGGTTGTGAAGGTTCCAAAATGCAACTGCTCTTCAGGAAAGAGGCTGAGCGACTGTGTCTACAGATGCTCTCTGCCAGGGCTCTGATGGAGAGCCAGACTCGACTCTTAAGCCTCGTGGCCCAACAGTCTTCCAATTCACGTGTAAAGCCTAAAACTTTAGATTTCTTTCGAACTAAATCAGCTGGCACCTGTGTCAAGTTGCCTTTGGCCATTATCCCCTTCCATGTGGCAGTGGTGGTCTAGAAGCTGCTAATATTCTAGCTATTTTTGAAAAAAGAAAAGAAAATTAGATCTCAGAGGCTCAGACTTTCCTTACCAGCATAGTAGACAGTGGATAAAATGGTTGCAAATTAAAAAAAAAAATAGTAAGAAATGCTGTTTATGGGTGTTCTATGCCAGACACCCTGCAAAGCACATCACCTCAAAGGGCAGGTACAGAATTTCATACTTGCAGTCCTACCTCAGTTTTCTCAGCTGTCCACATGAGAGGGTGCTGCTGAAAGATGGGCAGACAACTCTGGCCTGGAGCAGGGACATGGGTTCTATGCCAGGTGCAGGAGCTTCTGATCCGTGTGCCCACAGGCAGGTGTCTTGACCTCCCTGAGCTATGGTTCCTGGACTAGGGAGGGTGGGCACCATGATGCTGCCTCACAGCAGCCCTCTGCTGACCTGGTGAGCTGTAGTGAGCACTCATTGAAGCAGACTGCACAAAAGGCCTTGGACAAGATCAAGTAACTCTAGACAGTATTCCTAAAATTGAGGTCAGGACATTGAGCGTTAGAGTGGGAGTCCAAAGAGGTTTGTGTAGTCCATGCCTGCTTTGCCACTGAACTGCTAGGCAACCTTGAGAAGGAAGGTTACTACCTCTCTCTGGGTATCAGTTTCCTCATCTATTTTAGGGGGAACCTGATGGTATGCAAGGTCCTCTCCGGCTCTAAGACTGCAGGGTTCTACAGTACAGTTACCCCCATGTTACACATATTCCATCCCCAAGGCTTGGCTCACACGCCCTGCCTCCTCTAAGTCTACTGTGATTCACCTTGTGGTTATTCTCTTGCTCCTTCCCAATCCATATTGCATGTCACAGTGATTTTCTGTTTCTGTGCCTATCTCACTGTGAGGCCAGGAACACCCTGAGGCTGGGGCTCCTTCCTTTGATCACCTCTACCCCTGGTACCAGCACAAGTCCTGGCATAGAACATACCCCTTAAAGAAGGCTTGTTCAATAATGCTGAACCAGGGTGTGCCCATGGCAACAGGTGAGAGAGGAGGAAAAGCAATTTGTGCACATGCTGCTCAGTGAGGCCTATCTGTCTGCTCCTTCCTAGTGACCTGTCTGGATGAAAATGTCTTACATGAGTGTGGGGCTGTGAAACTAAGAGGCACTGCATCCAGCAACCCTCCAAGAAGATGTTCAAGCTCCCTTCAGAAGTGTCTTAGGTTTTCCTAAAGACAGAGTGACAACCTCCAGGGCCCAGGCCTCCTTAGCTCCTATCTGAAACTACCACCTCTTCTGTACAGCACTGAAAAGGCAGTGACCTCCTGGTGACTTTGGAGGCTGGGCTTGAGCTTGGGCTGAGCTTTCCCCTGAGAGCTTAGGGAGAGATGATCAGCTTAGTGTTTGTTTGGGTTTACTCTGTACTTTTTCCAGGTGTCAGTTGATGGTGTGAAAGTAAACAGCACCTAGCACTTCTATTCACTGACATGTGAGCCAGGAGAGGCCCAGGCTTTTGGGTCCAATGGTCAGAAGTGGCAGGCTTTGCCCTGCACTCACCTGTGGGGCTTCAGGTCTTAGTGAATAGGTATAGTTGTCCCTTGTGCCTTAGCATCCAAGGGGGATTGGTTGTAGGACACACCTCAACTACTAAAATCCATGGATGCTGAAGTCCCTTATATCAAATGGCATAGTATGTGTAGATAACCTACGTACACCCTCCTATATACTTTAAACCATCTCTAGATTACTTACCATACCTATTTATACAATCTAAATAGTTGCTATCTGTGTTATTATTTAGTAATAATAAGAGAAAAAAGTTTGTATATTTTTAGTGCAGATGGGAAAACTTTTTTTTAATTTTCAGTCTGCTGTTGGTTGACTCCACAGATGTGGACCCCATGGATACAGAAGGCAGACTTTACTCCATTCATTTATTAGCCAATCTGGAGGCAGTATGGACAGATGGGAGTGATACTTGGAATCAGATGTGATTCCAAATTTCAGTTCTGCCAGCTACGTGACCCACACTCAACTGCTCTGAGGTTCATTCTCTTCCTTTGTAAAATGAGGATAGTGACAGCACCCACTTCAGAGGGTACTTAGTGCTTGATACATCATAGGTATCAATAAATGCATATGATTCATTCATCCTTTGAAGAATCTTCCACACGTGCCTACTATGTGCCAGAGACTGCATGTGGCACTAGAAATACAGAGGTCAATAAAATAAAGTCTCTGTCCCCCCCAAGAGATCATATTACAAATAACCTGCAAACTGATACTGACATTCCAAACATTATCCAAATAATCTGTAGCCACTAGTCATGTCTGTATCTTTTAGATTACATGTAATGGATTAAAATGATGGGTTTTAGGGTCAGACAGACCATGGCTTTGGCACTTATTGGCTGAAAAATCTGTAAGTCGCATATCAAACTATCCATTGAGCTTTGCTTTCCATTTCTGTAAAATGGGGACAATAATTCCAACCTCAATAATCTCACAGGTTTGTTGTTATAATAAATGAGGTAATGTATAAAGTTCAAAACCTGATGTGTTAGTTAAACCAAAAATGGCCTTCCCACACATTACCTCACTTATTATAACCCTAAACCTGTGAGATTACATGGGTACACTATTATAATAATGTTGTGAGAACATCTGGTTATTATCCTTCTTAGAAGTGAGGATACTGAAACCCAGATAATATTAGGACATTCTACAAGATCATGGAGGCATTTTCTGTTTTCACAGTCCTCAGAACAATATAGTGCTGCAAAATGGGTATTTTGCAGACAAGGGAACAGCCTGAGAAAAAGCAAGGAACACTTACATAACCCACAGAAGCTTTCCTTCCAGCAGCTCTTTCCTATCTATTACTGGTCCTGCTGTTTCTCCTTTGTTTCATCCAAGCCAGACCCTGGATATATGTGAGAAGAAATAGAATCCTCCAGGCAGAGTTTCCCAGACATTTGGTCTCATTCTTTGCATTTGGAGACTGTGATCTGACCATCTAAAACACTCTACTTCCCTGCCAGTTTACACTAGAATACTCTCCTGGCACGAAGCTAAAGCTGGCTGGGGCTGAGCAGTCCTCCACTGGCCCTTTACAAGCTGGTTTGTGAGCTCTTACACATTTTAATGGAAGGGGCCTGAACTGGGTGACCTTGATGTTTATGGGGTGCTAACTGACGGTAACACAACATGTGAGAACTCAGGTTCTCCTTGGCAGAGGGGTCTGTTTGAGTGGAAGAGACTAGGATGAAAGATGGGAACAGAAACTTGAGATGTAACTTTATCATTTGGCCTCAGGTTGTAGTCCCTATTGCTTTTTTCCCACAAACACTTTGATTTCTTATTTTTGTCCTTGAAATAAAAGGAACTGCTTTGTTTTTCCTTCTCAGATTCTGCTTTGACATTAAAGCAGATATAACTTCAGAGTGGTTGGTGAAAACTAAACAGGATGATGCTACAGAAGGTGCTTTGACAGCTCATTTGCCTTTTACATAACAGAAATAGTTCCGTTTGTGAAATTTAGGTTGCAACTTCTCTCTGCGTCTCAGGTTTCCTTTTTTGTAAACTGAGAATGGCATCAACCACTTTAGACGGTTGCGGTAATTACTCTCCTTTGGTTGATTTTCTGGGTGCTCACTATGAGCACTGAGGATACAAATGGTGACAGTGACAAATGCAATTCTTTCCTGACATCGAGGAGTTTGCATTCTGTCACAGCAGATAGACGTAACCTAAACCTATTAAGGTAAGCGAATGAATTGGCACGAGCGGAAGTAAGGATTCTAGTATAGTGCCAGGCACATAGATAAAATATAATAAATGTCACACACCCATTTTTAGTTTTTAAAGAGGAAATGAAATGCAATGGTGAGTGTACCAGACTGATGTCAGAAGTTCATGTGAATTCTGTGAATTCTGACTTTTGCAACATGCTCAATAAAAGACAACACTGACAATTGCTAGTTGACTTTCATGCAACAAAA